GTCACTCTGTGGAAGAGAGATGAGGCCGTCTGCTTCAGTCAAGATTTACAGCCTTGGAAACCCTGTGGGGCAGTTCTACTCTGTCTTATAGGTTCACTAGGAGTTGGAATCAACTCAATGGCAGTGAGTTTGGTTTTGGTGTGGTGCTTGCCTGGAACCAAGTGGCATTCAGTAAATGGATGGATGAATAAATGAATGAAGGGAGGGAATGCCTACCTGTCATAGGAGTCTTTCTTCATTGTATTCATTTTCTTAGAGGCTCCTGTGGGGAGAAGCAGAACTCATGCATGGATGGTGGGATCAAGCCCTAGCTCCTTGCCTGTCCTCCTGTCCAGGAGAGGAACACTGAGTGAGCAAGGGCAGTGACCACACCTATCTTCCTTCCATACCCTCATCTGCAAAGGGCTCTGAACATGTCTGCTGGCTTTTTTTATGTATTTTCCCTCATCTCCAACATCATTCAACTGGAGTGTCAGTGTTTCTTATGACCTTTCCCTTTCCACATCAAACCCTTGAGGAAAGCAGGTGAGTCGTCAAGGGAGACAGGAATCAACATAGCTAATCACAATGGCCAGTTCTTATACAGTGTTTACTGTGAGCTAGTTTCTGACGTGCTGCTAAAAGTAATGGAAGGTGGCATCTTCTGACCTCCTCTAATGTCACAAAAGGAAAACAGAATCACTATCAGCAGCCCAAGGCTTATTCCTATGAGGGCAGACATGCTGCCACGCTCCAGCCTTCTACCAATTCTGACACCAACCATTCCTCCCATGGCACTCACTACTTCTCTGATGGGTTTAATAATTCGTTGCAATGGCCACACAGAACTGATAGACAATACTCACAATTATGGAGTTTATTAGGGAAATAATCGGTTACAATTCAGTTTCAGGAACATGCTCAGGATACAATTCTTAGTCAGGGTGGTCTCCCCTCTGCTGTGCCCTCACACACACCTTTCTGGGCCTGAGCATCTCTGCCTGGCCTCTGGTCTGCTCAGGCAAGTGTTAAAAAACTCTTTTAGCTCTGTCGATAGGTACCCCTAGGTGCACCCAATTATGCCAGCAAGCCTCCTGTCCAAGGGCACTCAGCTTTCTCGCTCCATGGGCCAGGTAAGCCCACTGCTCTGTCTCATGCCGCTTGGTTCCACTGGCACTGTATCTCTGTCAGGGCATCTCTCAGCTAAGGGGGTCCAGTGCGGGGATCTCGGGTCCAAGGATGCACTTTACTTCACCTCCAGCTCTTCTCTCTTGATGGCAGTGAGATCACCTTTCTGCCTCTAGGAAGGCTCACTTTAAGCCTGGCAGAATGACAAAACCAACGAATCCCAACATCAGAGTTCTACACATCTTATTTGCATGGTCCCTCCATTTGCTGATGTGGCATGACTCGAAATGGGAAGAAATAGCTGAAAACATCCATTAATAATCAGAACATGAAATGTACAAAGTATGAATCTAAAAAATTGGAAGTTGTCAAAAAGGAAATGGAACACATAAATATAGATGTCCTAGGCATTAATAAGCTGAAATGGACTAGTTTTGGCCATTTTGAATCAGACAATCATATGCTGTACTATGTCAGGAATGACAAATTGAAGAAGAATGGCATGGTATTCATCATCACACAGAATGTTTCAAGATCTGTCCTAAAGTACAATGCTGTCAGTGATAGGATAATATCCATACTCCTACAAGGAAGAGCAGTTAATACTACTATTATTCAAATGTATGCACCAACCACCAAAGCCAAAGATGAGGAAATTGAAGATTTTTACCAACTTCTGCAATCTGAAATTGACCAAACATGCAGTCAAGATGTGTAGATTATCACTGGTGATTAGAATGCAAAAGTGGGAAATGAAAAAGAATCACCAGTAGTTGGAAAATATGCCTTGGTGATAGAAATAGCTCTGGATATCTCATGATAGAATTTTGCAAGACCAACGACTTATTCATTGCAAATACATTTTTTTTTAACAACATAAACAACAGCTATACACATGGCCTTCACCAGATGGAGTACACAGGAATCAGATCGACTACATCTGTGGAAAGAGGTAACGGAGAAGCTCAATATCTTCAGCCAAAACAAGGCCAGGAGCTGACTGTGGAACAGACTATCAACTGCTCATATGCAAGTTCAAGTTGAAGTTGAAGACAATTTAAAAAAGTCCACAAGAGCCAAAATATGACCTTGATTATATCCCTCCTGACCATCTAAAGAATAGATTTGATGCATTGAACGTCAATGACTGACAACCGGAGGAACTGTGGTATGACATCAAGAACATCATCCATGAAGAAAGCAAGAATCACTAAAAAGACAGGAATGAAGGAAAGACCAAAATGGATATCACAAGAGACTCTGAAACTTGCCTTTGAATGAAGAGTAGTTAAAGCAAATGGAAGAAAGGACAAAATGAAAGAGCTGAACAAAAGACTTCAAAGAGCAGCTCATGAAGACAAAGTCAATTATAATGAAATGTGCAAAGACCTGGAGTTAGAAAACTAAAAGGGAAGAACATGCTTGGCATTTCTCAAGCTGAGAGAGCTGAGGGAAATATTCAAGCCCTGAGTTGCAATATTGAAAGATTCTATGGGCAAAATATTGAATGATGTAAGAAACATCAAAAGAAGATGGAAGGAATATACAAAGTAACTGTGTTAAAAAGAAGTGGTCAATGTTCATCCATTTCAAGAGGTAGCCTATGATCAAGAACCAATGGTATTGAAGGAAGAAGTTGAAGGTGCACTGAAGGAATTGGTGAAGAGCAAGGCCCCAGGAATTGACAGGATAGCTATTGAGATGTTTCAACAAACTGATGTCACACTAGAGGCATTTACTCGTCTATACCATGAAATTTGGAAGAAAGCTCCCTGGCCAACTGACTCAAAAAGATCCATATCTCTACCCATTCCAAAGAAAGGTATTCCCACAGAATGGGGAAATTATCAAGCAATATCATTAATATCACACGCAAGTAAAATCTTGCTGAAGAGAATTAAAAAACGGTTGCTATTGACAGAGAGCTTCTAGAAATGCAAGCTGGATTCAGAAGAGGACATGGAACAAGGGACATCATTGCTGAGGTCAGAGGGATCTTAGCTGAAAGCAAAGAATACCAGAAAGATGTTTACTTGTATTTTATTGACTCTGCAAATTATTCAATTGTGTGGATCATAACAAATTATGGATAACATTGAGAAAAATGGGAATTCCAGAACACATGATTGTGTTCATGAGGAACCTTTACTTAGACCAGGAGGCTGTCATTCGAACAGAACAAGGGGATACTGCATGGTTTAAAATTAGTAAAGGAGTGTGTCAGGGTTGTATCCTTTCACCATACTTATTCAATCTGTATGCTGAACAGATAATCTGAGAAGCTGGACTATATGAAGAAGACCATGGCAGCAGAATTGGAGGAAGACTCATTAACAACCTACAATAGGCAGATGACACAAATTTGCTTGCCGAAAGTGAGAGTGAGTCAAAGCACTTACTGATGAAGATTAAAGACTACAGTCTGAAGTATGGATTACATTGCAACATAAATAAAATGAAAATTCTCACAACTGGACCAATAAGCAGCATCACAATAAATGGAGAAAAGATTGAAGTTGTTAAAGATTTCATATTACTACCGCAATCAACATCAATGGAAGCAGCAGTTAAGAAATCAGACAACGTATTGCACTGGGCAAATCTGTCGGTAAAGACCTCTTTAAAGTGCTGAAGAGCAAAGATGTCTCCTTGAAGACTAAGGTGCACCTAACCCAACTCATGGTATTTCATTCACCTCATGTGCATGTGAGAGCTGGACAATGAACAAAGAAGATCAAAGAAGAGTTGATGCTTTTGAGTTATGGTGTTGGCGAAGAATACTGAAAGTACCATAGACTACCAAAAGAACTACCAAATCTGTCCTGGAAGAAGTACAGCCAGAATGCTCCTTGGAAGTGAGAATGGTCAGACTTCATCTCACCTTATTTGGTCATGTTACAGAAGGGACCGTTCCTTGGAGAAAGATATCTTTCTTACTTGGTAAAGTGGAGGGTCAACAAAAAAGGTAAAGACCCTCAATGAGATGGATTGACACAGTGGCTGCAATGATGGGCTCAGGTATAGCAAAGATCATGAGGCTGGCACAGGACCGGGCAGTGTTTTGTTCTGCTGTGCGTAGAGTCGCTATGAGTCAGAGACAATGTGGCGGCACCTAACAACAACAACAACCCATTAATCTGCTGGGAGTTACAAAGACTATGGCTAGAAAAACCATACCAAGTAATTCACTGCACTGTAAGTACGTATGTGTTTATCATGATCATTGCTCAAGTAAAGAAATTGAGCTAACAGAGTAGTAACCTGCTGAGAGCCATGGCCTTTGTAAATAGATGGGCTGGGATTTTCATACACTTAATCTAGTACATTTTTCTTGGCATGTGCATGTGGGTATTAACTTCATTGAAGTCTAACATAAAATACAGAAAACTAAGCAAACACAATTTTCACAAAGTGAATGCACTTGGGTAACCAGTGCCGAGCTCAAAAGACTTGAACAAAAACAGCCCACACCCTCCTCAGCCTCTAGTATGCCCTCTCCCACTCTGTATCCCTCTCAGCCAAGGGTAACTAACTACTCCTCTGAGTCCTCTCACCATTTTTCTGGAAGTGTCTTCTTTATCCTTCTATTTTAATCACATTTGTATTTCAACATTGTAGAGTCTCGTTGTTGAAATTCTGCTTGCAGGAGTAGAGGTGGGGTGTTTGAGAGATAAGAGAGAGAAGTGAGGATGGGAGTGTTAGGAGGCAGTTGCTTCAGTTTTCCCACATTCTCTTTGCCAGTAAGTGCAAGGTTCTAAACTTTCCTCCTATGCTTCTGGGTAGGGTAGGGGGTGGGGTGGACTACATTTCCCAGCAGGCTGTGCTCTGACAGCTCTCAAGATTTAAATAGGATTCTGGGCTGCGCTTAGCCCCGGGCTGTTGCTGAGTGTTTCAGAGAGGAGTGAGAAGCAGTCACCAGTTAGAGCCAGATTGACCGGGAGCCTGAATCAGAGTTGAGGTCGGAGCTGAAGCAGCAGCAAAAGCAGCAGCCACTGAAGAAGTTGAGAAGATGGTGGTTATTTTGGTACTGCTCACCTCCTTCCTTTCTTTCCTGTACATTATAGCTCCATCCATCAGGTTTGTTTTAATTTAGCATCTCATGAAGTGTTTTTTACATAGCCATAAACTGGGAGCCAGTTCTTAGCCTCTGGAAGAAAAGTTAGAGACAGAGGTCGAGTGAGAGAAAGGGTATATAAAGCAGGAAGGAGGGCAGTGGTTATGGATACCCTTATGGAAAACTGAGAAGGAGGCACCTGGGGTTGGGGGAGGAGACAGTGGTCTGAATTCTGATGCCAGTGGGAGGCTAAGTGAATGACTTTATTAAATAGTTCGCTAGACATCTTAGGTGGGAGTCCTTGCTCTTTCACCCTGTCCCCCTGAGTTTATCTGAAGAGCTTCCTTTCATCTCTGTCCCTAATCAAGATGACTCTGCCAGGTTATAATGGGTGGCCATTGCCATGGAAGGAGCTCTGGTAGCATAGTGGCTAAGGCACTTGACTGCTAACCAGGAGGCTGGCAGTTCAAACCCACCAGCCACTCCTCAGAAGGAAGATGAGGCACACTACTTCCGTAGTGATACTGCCTAGAACACCCAAGGAGGGGTCGCTATGAGTTGGGTCTGACTCGATGGCACATAACAACAACAACAACATTGCCATGGAACTCGTTGTTAAGCCCTAGGCAAAGGTGAGATGGACAGAATGTTACTGTAGGTCCTGGCATAGAAACCTAAGTGCACTCGTAGCAAGTGATCTGAGGCTCTTTGAGTGTGGGGATATTAACAAGTGGTTGAGAGCATTGAAATAGCTGACCTTCTAAAGTGCCTGATCTAGTGCCTGGAAGTAAGAGGGTGCTAAGGACATGTTAATTTGCCTCCATCGGTCCTGTCTTTTGGAACTTGTCTAGACAGCCCTACATAAAAAGGTTTCCCTGTGGAGATGTCTGGGGGTTCAGCGGCAGGAAGCCTCTGAAGCCCTTGATGCTCTCAAACTGGATAGGGAGCTCCAGAGTCATGTTCTGTATGGGGTCCCTAGGGAGTGCTGTTCATCAGTTACCACTGATGATGCTTGTTGAAGACTAGGGTTCAGGGCTAATGTTCATTGCACATGTGGTTTGAAGGTTAGAGATAAAAGCTAGATATCTTTGCTATCTAACAAGGAAGGTCCCCATTGGTCCTGACTTAGGCACACTTACCTGGTTTGTGCAAATAATCATTTGTAGCTTTTGGGCACGTGAGCTTCCAACCTGAGCTGATGAGTGGAAGAATATTGTTTCCTGAAGATTAGCTTCTTTGGTTCTCCTGACAAGTTAAAGAAATACCTTTTTGGGGTTGGATAGATTTTATGTATCTCAGTCTGGGGTTGGGAAGGATGGTGCATGAATGTTCTTTTTTCTCTTGTCTATAGGAAGTTCTTTGCTGGTGGGGTATGTAGGACAAATGCACAGCTTCCTGGGAAGGTGGTAGTGATCACTGGTGCCAATACAGGCATTGGCAAGGAGACGGCCAGAGAGCTCGCTCGCAGAGGCAAGTCCTCCCACATCAGGCTCCACAAGCGGCGTTGCTTGCCTTTCTCTTTGGTGGCTCTGGCCCCAACACTCCATTTCCTTTTTTGCCCTCCTGGGCCTGGAGGTTCTATCCAGGAATTCAAAGAACCTAGGATTCAAGTCCAGTTGTGACACCAACTTACTTTGTAATCTCAAATAAATTTTCCCTCCTTCTTCTCCTTCTCTATTATGCAAAGTAAGAAAAACAACAATATCCAAATATTATATTGGTCAAGTTAGTTATTCTAAAAGCAACAATAAATAGTATTGTCTTCTGCCAGAATGTAAGAACAAGGGTTCTTACAGAAGGTCAGTGTTTACAGGGAGAAAGCTGGGTGAGTAGGAGTGCATGGGTGGGAAGGACACAGGGAAGAGTAACTACAGGGAGGAAGTGGGAAGAGAGCTGTTACATGGTGGAGGATCGCAGTCAATGTCATGAGACAAAATGTGTATGAACTGCTGTATGGAAAATGAATTTGCTCTGTAAACTTTCACCCAAAACACAATAAAAATTTAAATACACACACACAAACAAAACAAGGGTTTTCAAGCCTGAGGCTAAACTGACAGCAACAAAATTGGCCAGTATTATTTGTGAGGATCCTTAAGTGACACTAAGGTCAGTCACTGCTTTAGGGAAGGCTGGGAAAATGTGCACTTAATATAGACCTCTTTTTTAGCCTAAGATCTCTCTCTTTGTTTTGATCCCAGGAGCCCGAGTCTACATTGCCTGCCGAGATATTCTAAAGGGGGAGTCTGCTGCCAGTGAAATTCGAGCAGATACAAAGAACTCCCAGGTGCTGGTACGGAAACTGGACCTATCAGACACCAAATCCATCCGAGCCTTTGCTGAGGGCTTTCTGGCAGGTGAGGGCCTGGTGGGTAGCTAGAAAAGCAGGAAGCTGGATGTGGGAGTGACTGCTTCAGCCTGGACCATGTATGGTTCTTACATCAGAACCATCATCAATCCCACTGGACAGGTTCTGCCACATGAACCAGCAGGACAGGGACTTGGCAGAGGGATAGCAGGTGCACAAGCTGGGCAGGATGCTTATCACCTATTTGCCTCAGCAGTGGGAATGTTGGAAATGCCAGTTCCTGTCTGGGCTTGTGCCTTGGCATTGAGGTGTGGTCATCCGGAGAATCAACCGTTTGTGGCCACAAGCACCAAATCAGGTTGTGCTGCTGTCTTAATTCTTCTGGGCTTATAAAATGATCAGCTTCTGCCTAGGACTACGAAATCCATGAAGGATAGGGACCATTTCTGTCTTGTTTTACCACTGCATTCCAAGTGCCCACCAAAGTGGGCCTGGCCCAGAGTTGGTAATCAGTACTGAATTTACTGAACAAAAGAATGGTGTCCAGGAAAGTATAAATAACTAAAATTAGACACCCAATGTAGGTTTGTTCCTAGGGACAATGGCTATTGAGTTTCACTGAGATAGGTCCAAATGGGCGTAGTTACTGACTACTAGGCAATACCTTATCTTAGAAGACAGAAGCAGAGAAATAGATCCTATCTGTAGTAGTTATGTTTGTGTGTCAACTTGGCTGAGCCTGGTTGAGTGGCTGGGCAGCTGGTGGTAGTTATTCCCCATAATGAGACTAGCAATCAGCTCCATGGTGGAATCTACCACAAGCAGCTGAGTAGCTGCCTTTGGGATGTGGTCTTCTTCCTGTATATAAGGAGAAGCCTTGGGAATGGTCTCTAGCTTATGGCATGCTTGGACCCTGCATGTAGCAGTGTCGTTGTTCAGCAGCCTGCCATGCTCTGCCGACCTTGGGACCTACAATGGACTTGAATTAATGGCCTGCCGTGTGGTTTGGTAACATTGGGACTATGCCTTTTCACTTGTCAATCTTGGGTTTGTCAGCCTCAGTAGCTAGCAGCTGCCTGAGTGGAGAGATGCTTCTAGCTTCAGTGGGCTGGGAGCTGGAAGCAGAGCTGAAGCCCAAGGTTGAGGGGCTTTCACGAAGCCCCTAGACCCTGGCATTTTACACTCAGACTTAAAGCTTCCAAATTGTAAGAATAAACTCCTGTTTGTTAAGGCCATCCCATTTGTGGTATATTTCTTGTCAGAGCAGCACTAGGGAACTAGAACACTATCAAAACCTTGTCCCATTAGGGAAAGCTGAAGAACAAAGGCAAACAGAAAATACTCAGGGCTGTGACAGATTCCATGCTGATGGATTCCTTATGAATGACCAGGTCTCCTTTGTTGTGCTTTACAGAGGAAGTACAGCTTCATATCCTGATCAATAATGCAGGAGTGATGCTGTGTTCATATTCCAAGACAGCTGATGGCTTTGAGACCCACCTGGGAGTCAACCACCTGGGTAAATATCACTGATATCATTGAATGGCTGAAAAGCAAGGCAAACCCGACCTTATTCTCTGTAGAGAGATGAACCTATACTAGTGCTCAGAATTCCCACTGGTCCTCAGAGAGCCCAGGACTCCAATAGACTGGATATATTGGTTTGTTCACTGTTCCTCTTCTGACCAGCTATAGAAGTGAGACCCTTCTAACCATACTATTAGGAAACCTGGTATCTCAAGAGATACCTGGGATAATAATGTCATACTCAGAAGAGGCAGTGGTAATGCAAGCTTTGCTAGGTAGGACCAAGCCTGGAGGGAACAGGAGTCTGGGATTGGGCAGAGGGGCCATGTCCATAGCTGAGGGCCAAGCAAGCCCAGGGTTGGTTCATGGAGGCAGGCAAACTTAAATACATTGAGAAGGTCTTGAGAGATTAGACAGGTTAGGCTTCAGAGTCTGAGGTGATGGCTCTAGTGAGGAGAGCTTGGGGCATGTTCTCTGATCCTAGGCCAATGTAATTTTCCATCACCTGTTTTATCCTTCCATCTATATATAAGGGTACCTGTGTCCACAGTCAGGCAATCATGGCCAGATAAGGGAGTCAGAAGCTAGCAGGTGTTCATTACTCCTGACTGGGGCAAGGGCAGAGGTAGAGATAAGTACGGATTAAATCTGTATTGTCTTACCTGTAGTTTAGCTCTGGCCCTTGACTTGAGGAATTCACTAACTCACACCAACTAACCATGAGCATGGAGTTACTCATAGCTCAAATTTGTTCACACCCAGGACAGTAAGCTAACGCTAAAGTCCTGTCATCAGCTTCCACACCCTGAGCCTGGGCTGCCACTCCACCCTTTAGTTTCTCCTGCTGGTTCCCCATACAGGCCACTTCCTTCTCACCCACCTGCTCCTGGAGCGGCTGAAGGAGTCTGCTCCTGCACGGGTGGTGAACGTGTCTTCAGTGGCCCACCACGGTGGCAAGATTCGCTTCCATGACCTCCAGGGTGAGAAGCACTACAGCCGGGTTTTTGCCTATTGCCACAGCAAACTGGCCAATGTACTTTTTACTCGTGAGCTGGCCAGGAAGCTCCAAGGTAAGTCAAAAGTAATGGTTGGAGTCAAGATAGCAAAAACCTCCAGATTAGAGGTTCACAGAAACTTCTGAAGTCAGGCTGTCAAACATGCACATTTCCAGTGGTAACATTCTGCATGAAGGAGAATGAGATTATAAATGGAATGGAAACAGAATTCTTGCCCTCAGGAAACTTAAACTTGAATATGGGTAAGGAACCTCATAAAATTACTTTACATTTGTATCTTATTTCATACCTGTTATGGCATTTGATTTTCACAACAACTCTTGCAATAGATAGAGCAAGTATTAATAGTCCTATTTTGTAGGGTAGAACTGAGACCTAAAGAAGTGCCTGGCCTGAGGTTATATGACAAGTGAAGAAGTCAGGACTGGAGTGCCAATGCCTCTAAGTCCAGGGTGATTTCTTTTGCTTGCCATTTGCTGAGGGTCATATAGTAAGCCAAACCACAGAGCTGCCATGGCCTGGGTACTAGGTTTACCACATGTTGTTGTTATGTGCCGTTGAGTCAGACCCGACTCATAGCGACCCCTCCTTGGGTTTCTGAGGCAGTATCACTACGAAAGTAGATTGCCCCATCTTCCTTCCGAGGAGCGGCTGGTGGGTTTGAACTGCTAGCCTTCTAGTTAGCAGTCAAGTGCCTTAGGCACTACGCTACCAGAGCTTCCAACCACATGTTAGCCACATGTATATGTAGACATGCTCCTTTACTCTCCCTGATTTCACCTCCTCTGCTGTAAAATGATGTGAGCCCAGCTTAATCTTGTGACTCCGCACTCTGGAGTTTTAGTTGAGTTGCTGACTCTGACATCTGTGACTCTGGGTGCCCATTTGCTATAGTGAATAAACCAGAGTTTGAGAACAATGATCTTTCCTATCAGAACACTAAAGGCAGAAGAACAGGATAATCACAAAAATTAAGAGTAATTGACAATTGTGTATATATCAGGTACTATAGATGTTTTAACTCATTTAATATTCACAACATTCCTGCAAGGTTGATGCTATTGTTTTCCCCACTCCACACAATAGGGACAGGCACAGAAAAAAATGAAAAATCAAACTCATTGCCGTCGAGTCGGTTCCAAATCATAGCGACCCCTCCTTGGGTTTCCAAAGCAATATCACTATGGAAGTAGACTGCCCAATCTTCCTTCCCAGGAGTGGCTGGTGGGTTTGAAACTCCAGCCTTCTGGTTAGCAGTCAAATGCCTTAGGCACTATGGTACCAGAGCTCCCTGGCACAGGCACAGAGATGGTAAGAAATTTGCTCAAGCAAGAGGCCTGACTGAGCCAATATTCAGATCTTACAGTCTTGCTCCAAAGTCCACATGCCTTACACTACATCACATTCAGACCTTGGCCTTGCAGCCTCCTCTGAGCATGTTACTTAACCTCTCTGTGACTCAGATTCCTTAGCTGCATGACACAAAAAGAAAACAAAACCCCATATCTACTGCCATCAAGTTGATTCCAACTCAGTGACCCTATAGGACTATACTGGAGTAGAACTGCCTCAAAGGATTCCAAGGCTGTAAATCTTTACAGAAGCAGACTGCCTCATCTTTTTCTCTTGGAGATGGTGGGCTCGAGCCACTAACCTTTTGCTTCACAGCCAAATGCTTTAACCACAACCCCACCAGGGGTCCTTAGCTATATAACAGGTATCTTAATATTACCTACCTCACAAACCTCTTAGAGAACTAAATGAGTTAATGCATGTAAGGATCTGGCACAGCCCTTACACATAAGTACTGAAAATGGTGGTGGCACCAGAAGTGTCCTTGGAAGGCATGTAACACTTAGAATCTCCATTAGTACCCTTCAATCCACACCTCATAAAATGTGCTTGCCAACCAAAACAAGGTTCTAGCCCCCTACTTTCTAAACAGATCACTACTCCTAAGCCCCTCCTACATAAATTTTAAAAGATACCACTGTTGTTGATTGATACTACTACTACTACCTGTTACTGTTTTTATTAATAATACTTAAGGCACTTGTAGGGAGCTCTGGTAGCATAGTGCCTAAGGCACTTGACTGCTAACCAAGAAGGCTGGTGGTTCAAACCCACCAGCCACTCCTCGGAAGGAAGGTTGGGCAATCCTACTTCCGTAGTGATACTGCCTCGGAAACCCAAGGAGGGGTCGCTATGAGTCGGGGCCGACTCGAGGGCATATAACAACAACAACAACAAGCCACTTGTAAAGCTGACATTGAAATAGGAGGACCACAAAACAAACACTCCTTTTGGAGGAAGGCAGAAAAGATTTGGAGCGTAGAGGGTTGAGAGGGCTATAGATCTTTCTGGAAAGGATGAGTTACTGGTGTGAGTTTGCATGGCTAGCGGTGGTTCCTTCTGAACCCTGGGAGCACCGCCTGTTTTCTGAGTCCCTCCTCCTCATTTGTCCATCAAGCTGCAGGAGATGGGTTGTGTTCCTGGGCTTAGAGTGTGTCCCTGGTCTAACTGTGCCCTCTTTGCCCTAGGCACTGGGGTCACCACTTACGCAGTGCACCCGGGTATCGTCCATTCCGAGCTGATGCGGCACTCCTTCCTCCTGTGCCTGTTCTGGAGGCTCTTCTCGCCATTCATCAAGTCAGCGCGGGAAGGGGCACAGACCAGCCTGCACTGCGCCCTGGCTGAAGGCCTGGAACCCTTGAGTGGCAAGTACTTCAGGTGCATGGAAGGCAGCATGGTTCTCTTCCACCGTCTGTGCGTATAGTGAGGCCCGGGGTGTCCTGGGCTTTGTACTCGCAGTGGCCGACTTTGTGCTTGATAGTAGAATACAGGTATGGATTGTGCCAAAAAATCAAATGTTGGCACTTTTCTGAGGAAACTTAGGTTAGAAAGTTGTGAAGAATTATTTTTATGGGTCTGTTTTATACCTATTTGCTAGTGTTTTCATGGTACCCCTGTGGCTTTCAGTGGGCTGTTAGAGTAGACTGTCTCTGTAGGTTATGCCATGAAAAGATCATTACCAAACTTTTTGGAGGCTTTTTCTCCTCCTTGAAGCTTTTGGCTAACTTCTTTCATGAATTCTTTAATACCGTTTAGCACAAGGCATCTGGGCAAAGTCATCTCTCCCCCCAGTGCTGTCAAGATTGAGACTATCTATTGGAATACAGAAATAGAAATTTTACTGTCGAATCTTATGTAAACTCAATGGACGATCAGAGTTTGGGAGAAGAGGGGAACCCAGGATTAAATCTCCTTTCAACTATTTTATGAGTTGACCCTACTTTGTTCAAGCCTGTTCATTGACATACCTTGCTAAGTGAGGCACTGGAAATAACCTAAGTGCCCAACAATAGGGAAATGGGTAAATGATAATTGGTAATGTTGCTTGAACTCTTACAGTGTCTTTGGCATTCTTCTCAGTGTCTTACACTTGTGAATTCATATAATCACAACTCTAAGAGGTAGATAATATTATTATCCTCATTTTACAGATGAGAAAACTGAAGCACAAAATAAGTAACTTGTTCAAGTCACATAGCTCATAAGTGGTAGACCTAGAATTTAAACCCAGGAAGTCTGGCTCCAGAACTGTGCTATACAATATGGTTACTACCAGCCACACACAACACATTGAACTGAGATGTGAGCTTGGTGTAAAACATACACTTGAGTTTGAAGATTTAGTATTAAAACAAAACATAAACTATTTAATTGATAATTTTTATATTCTTTACATGCTGAAGTGATTTGCATACATTGGTTTACAAAAAATATACTGTTAGAATGAAACTCACCTGTTTCTTTTAACTTTTTAAAATTGTGCGTGTAGCTCACATTGATGACACTCATCGTATTTCTATTGTACAATGTTGATGTGGAGTTTGAGTGCTTAATTTCACTGCCTTCAATATGTGATTAAGTATTATATAGTCACTCAATATATTTTTCAAATAATATTTAATTTGTTGGAAAATGCTGGTGACAATATTGTGAGAAGAAACTGCAAGACAAAACTATACAAGTATACGTTGTGCATGCATGGGGAACAGGCCCAAAGGGTAGAACTGTAAATAGTGGTTACTTCTAAGGAGACTGAGAGAGAGTCATTGAAGGAGGATCTAAAATTTTTACTCTAGGAGTTTCTTTACTATTTAAAAATGTTTTAAAAATCATATATTTTTTTCTTTCTTATATAACTAAAAAGAAAGAAAATCCTTCCTCAACTAGATTATTCTGATCCCAGCTTTGTGTCAGAGAGAGAGAGAGAGAGAGACTATTTACATAGGAAAAAAGCAAGACTGTATGGAAAGGCAATTAAATAATAGATTTTTCTTCTTTTGCCAGCACTTCACTATATTTTCCAAGTGTTACACAGGACATTTTTAAAATTGCAACAATATGCATCTATAACACAATATTTATCAATTCAACATTTTCAGGTGTACAGTTTAGCAGTATCAATGACATTAATCATGTTATGTAACCATCACCCATAATTTTTATTCCACAGGACTTTTATAATTAAACTCTATTTAAAAGAACTGTCTTCTGCCCTCACCCCCTGCAATCCTCCAGTCCCCCAAGCCCTCAACAAATAAAACAGGGGTTCTTAGTGTGGGGTTCATGGGGCACAAGGAAGTTAGTGGATAAAATTCAGAGGGTCTGTGAACTTGTATGGGAAAATAGTTTTACCAATATCCAATTGAAATGAGCATTTCCTTCAATTATGAATGTGGATAATGAACCACAGCAGTAGTGATCCTGTGAATGTGTCACCAACAAAATGATAAATGCAGTGAAGCCTGTGAGAGCTGAACTCAACAGGACTGCCTTATTTTTCTAGGTCTTGCAAGTTTTCTGTCTTTGACAGTCTTACCACCTTTCTATTGTTCTTTATTAGTGGAAAATGTTTGAGTTTTGCTTCTCTGATAGGTTTCCATCTGTCTTAGGCTGGGTTCTCTAGAGAAGCTAAACCGGTGAGATAGATAGATATATAGATATATATAGATATATATATCTATATATAGATATATATATGCTGTTGTTGTTGTTATTTGCTGTTGAGTCGGCCCCGACTCATAGCAACCCCTCCTTGGGTTTCCGAGGCAGTATCACTATGGAAGTAGAT